TAAAATTAATAAAATTTAATGAATAAATGAAATATATCCCTAAATTTTCCCTGCATATGCGATTTTTGAAAAAGAAAATAAATTAAATATTTATTTAATTTAACATTTTATTTATGTTAAATATATAATTTCGTTATAGAATTATATACATATTTAATTTTAGGTGCGTACATATTTAATCATATTGCAAAATACTTAAATGTCATTGTATCAAAAGTACTCCGTCACTATTAAATTTCCCTTTTTAATTGTCGAAACGTAAACAAATAAACAAATTTATTGCCCAAAAATACAATTATTTCTAATTTGAATTTCCTCTTTTTAAATTATAACATCAACAATTTATAATAATATACTTGTAAATAGTGAAATTTTATCAATAAATCTTTATCTATGTTTTATATTCCCCATTATATGAATTCGGGCACAGAGATTGGGCATTTGGGTCTTTTTCCTAATATCCATCATAGATTCGGTCGGGACTGCAATGAAGTCTACTTGATATTAGGGACGAGATTGGACAAATCCGGAACAGACCGCCCACGATTCCGAATCCTCCGGAGCAGTAGGCTGACACCTTAACCATCTTGGCCATCGGGCCAATATTCGGCTTTATGACAGCTGCCTTTAAAACCCATGATTTTACGAATTGCATACATTTGTCGTTAGCCATCTCATTGTAGGATTGGCTCAGCAGCGGCCGAGTGGATAAAACCACCGAAAACTGGTCGTGGGTCTGCGCCTCACCACAGGGTTTTGCTACGTGGTGTTTCTGGGTTTTTCAAGATCCGATTAAATTTAAACAAAATCTATCTCATATAAAAGATATAACTTATTGTAAAATGAATTAAAATTTTAAATAATTAAAAAGGAAATAGTGTTTTAACTCAATCATCTGTATAATACAGTGGTGCGTTATAGCCTCGTGGGACCCTGGCAAATTTGAATTAAAGGAACATTTTCAATTAATTTTTAAAACAACAAGAATATATTTCAAATTATATGTATGTAACTTTATGTGATCCAGATGATAATAAGGTCAATAATCGCACCATAAAAATTATTTTATTAATTTTCTTATGATAAAATGTTTAAAAACGTTTTTTAAAAAATTTATTTCAAATTTATTATTTCATATTACGCGAAATTACGACGATAATGTTCCTCCTTGAAGTTCACTGAACTTTTTTTATAGTATGGTTCCAGTCATTGGCTTTTTTTTTTCTTACAAAGAAAATATTTCATATAAAATTTATAAAAAGACAACATTTAAAAAAATATATTTTTCTTTACTTAAATAATATAAATTATTTATTTTATATAATTATCCACTTAATTTTTTTAAATAACTTATATAAATAGCAATTCCAGCTTTCTGATTTATGTTCTTATATGTTAATATAGAAAGTGTGTAATTTTTATGTGTTAATATAATCCCAAAATTAATTTAATGATTTAAATTCTTATATAAATTTAAAATATCTAAATATATAATTGGCTATTTTAATTTTAATAACTTTTGTTTTTTATTTTGGATCACTCTGTGAATAACAATTATTTTCCGTGTTTATTGTATTTTTGATAACAATCAATTTTTCTGTTAATTTTTTGAGTTCCCGTGAAATATAGTAATATAAATCGCATCGTTTCAACGAGTGTTTTACTATAAATTTTACTGTGAAAGATTCTTTTCTCATTTATTGCAAACTGAAAATGAAATTTAACTTTATAATATTTTATTCAATAAGAATAGTGAAATATAAACAGCGCAACATATATTACAATACAATTTATATAAATTCTAAAGCTTGTTTCCATTATACCAAGACCTAAAATTCACTGCCTCTCACACGCTACCTCCCGAAAGACTTAATCCATGAATTTTTCGGGGGTGGTCCGTCCGGATATGTCGGTCCCCGTCCCTCACCATCAGGCCGCCTCATTGTGGGCCTGGTTGAACCATAATGGGCTTGCTAAAAAAGGTGCTCTTAGTGCCCACAGGGTGGAGAGAGTAAAAAAACCGTTGGAACAGAAAGAAACAAGTCTGAGTTGTGAAAGGGAAGGCTGAACTCGATGGTATAGCCCTAAAGGAGAGAGAGATAAAGAGTAATGGGATGATAGAGGATGAGATAAGGGAGGGAAGGAGATAGAGGTTGGGATTCGTGAGCCCTTTCCCGGATTNTTATTGGATAATTAACCTATAACTTTTGTTTTTTATTTTGGATCACTCTGTGAATAACAATTATTTTCCGTGTTTATTGTATTTTTGATAACAATCAATTTTTCTGTTAATTTTTTGAGTTCCCGTGAAATATAGTAATATAAATCGCATCGTTTCAACGAGTGTTTTACTATAAATTTTACTGTGAAAGATTCTTTTCTCATTTATTGCAAACTGAAAATGAAATTTAACTTTATAATATTTTATTCAATAAGAATAGTGAAATATAAACAGCGCAACATATATTACAATACAATTTATATAAATTCTAAAGCTTGTTTCCATTATACCAAGACCTAAAATTCACTGCCTCTCACACGCTACCTCCCGAAAGACTTAATCCATGAATTTTTCGGGGGTGGTCCGTCCGGATATGTCGGTCCCCGTCCCTCACCATCAGGCCGCCTCATTGTATAATGTCAAAATGTTTATATATAAATGAAAANATGAGAACTTTACATAAATAACTTATAATTATAAAAAATAATTTTAACTATTAATAAGTTAATTATTTACTTTAAAATACATCAGTAAAGTGTTTAAAATTGAAATTATTACCCTAAAAAAAAGAGGTAAATATGCGATGTACTGTATATTCATGAATATTTATATTACTAAATATATTTTATTATTATACGCTATTATTCTACTTTCTATTTATATTTTTATATAAACTTTTTAGTAGATAAGTTATTGTAGCCTATTATTTATAAATCACTAAGCATTCATTATTTATATATTAACACCACTTATTATTGCAAATTACTTGAAAATTTATTTAAAAATAAAAATATTTCAAATTTTTTTTTACCATAATATAAATATAATGTAAATTTTATGTAATAATCAATTAAAATTCTTTTACTTTATAGAATCCTAATTTTTAATAAGAAATACTGTATTAATCTTGCAAAGAAAATTTTAAATGAATAAATACATTAAATAAAACTAAAATTGCAATAAAATTTAAATACAGATATAAAAATGATATCAGCTGGAGGTAATTTTGTTTTTGGATCTGGTCTTTCATTACATTACACCTCAATGTTATTAATTAATTAATATTGATAACTATTTTAACTTCAAAGAAATCTTGAAAAGAGACAGGTAAACAAAAACAGACAAGCATCTTAACTATAAAAGTTATTTTTATAGCTAAAAAAATTATAATTACTATTGAAAATTTCTAATCTAATTTAAATTAATAAATTCTATAATTATATTTACAACTAAATTATACTAAACTCTTACATCAACTATAAATAACCACATTGAAAAACATTAATTCTAATAAAATCAGCAGTGTTAACCCGAAAAAATATCTTAATAAATGAGATTAAAATGAAAGAGAAAAAAGGTAAATTATTATTTAAACATGAATTAATGTGTAATATTAAGTTGTTATATTTTTTATTAGTCATTTATTTATTAAATTATAATTAAAACGATTCATTTATCAAGTTTGTTACATTTAAAAAAAATTCATTTACAAGTAAGAACAAACAACCTTGACTGAGTTTCTTATTACTTTTTTTTTTTTTCTCATTTTTACTCAAGTGGTAACTATGTATTATCATAATATGTCCTTGTATTTCCAAGGACAATATTGATAAAGTAGATTAAATCGTTACTTATTACATTAAATTAACAGTACTTTATTTAAATAATTTTATTTTAAAATTATGTAATAGTTTAAAATAGTAACATAAAATTTATATTTTAATTTTTTTTTATTTTTATTATTATAACTGAAATTAATTTATGAAACTTATTTTTTTATATAATTACAACATTTAATTGGTATTATTTATATTTATAATATGACATTTCTATTTAGAAAATTTTACTAGAATCATTTTTAATAATTGATCCTTCAGTAAAATCCATGAATTTAAAACTGAAGGTCTAAACTGTGCAACCTATATACCATCATAATGGTGTATTTGACCTTTATACTTTTGTCCTCTAAAATTTAAGCCTTTTAATTGAATTTACTCTACGTAGAGAATCCTTGATCTCTTTATTATAGCTAACAAATTTCTTTATTTTCCATATTTCAGAAGAATTTCATTGATATATACAGTTACTAGATTGTGATATTAACATATAATCCAGCTTTAGTGAATGAAATATCAGGATCTATAGGAGCTAGTGGAACGTTTTATTATGTTCTAAAATACCCGTGTATGCTTAAGGAC